CAGAAACAACCACTTTTCACTCCTCTCTCTCTCTTAAACACTAGAGCAAAACCCAACACAGACACACATGCAAACCCATTTTTTCTAGCATATTTTCCTAGTGCAAGTTAATTTAATCAAGAAACAGAGGAAGAAGAGGAAACACTGAATTATCCCTGCTGAGAACAAAATAAGAGGGAAYAAACAAAAAATTGTTTAAGCTGGCAGCAAAAGGAACATTTCAAAGTGTTCCCTAGCAAGGCTTCCAGGGATTTCAGGTTTGGGTGTTTGTTTCTGTTAGGGCACATGCAAGTGCTTTGGCAGGTCAGGGATGGACATGGGAATCCTGGGGAAGGCTCAGATCCCTTGAAAGAAGGACCAAAGGCACCCAGACCCAGCCAGCTGAAGTCTCTCACTCCCCTGGCCATTTCTCTCATTCTCCTGCTCATCCCCACCCATGGATATCAGTCACACAGAGTCTGTGAGGAAGAGGAGTAGCTCACAGTGCTCTACCCAGCAAAAATCTGAGGGTTCTAAGGAAATTTAGCAGCTCTGACAATCCTAACCAAGTAAATGGAGTTTGTGTAAGGAATGATGCCCAGGGATCAAACTGCATCTCCTTAGAAAAGCTGTCTGTCCTTGATGCCAAGAGAAGCATTTCTGACAAAGCAACAAGCAAATAATTTTCTTGAAGGCATTGAGAACCACAACACATGTCAAGACTGGAAACTTCCCAAACATTGACAGCAAATTTCATTTTCTAGAAGTAAGCCCTCTCTCTTACTGATCTRCCAGGAGGGTGAAAGAGCAAACCACTGTGAAGATGGAATGGAGGAAAGAAAATTCATTTTCTCCAGCATCCATCAGGTGTGACAGGTTAGGATATCCATCAGAGATCTAAAGTGTGTAGGAGTTTTCCAGGTTATGCTGTGCACCACTGCAATGACTCAGACACAAGCCCTTCAAAACAAGGACCAACAGAGCACATACAGAGTCTAATTTTCATTAACAAGGCAGGGAGATGAAATTAATACAGCAAAGGTGAAGGCACAAACACACGCAAGTGCCTGCCATCACGGGCAGGGCTTGGCAACTCTCCCAGCTGCAGGGTGAGTGTGTGCACTGGGCTGCAATAAAAGTACCCAGCATAAACTAACTGATAAGCGTCTGCTTATCTGACAGTGACACAGCCCAACAACCTACTGAGTTGCTTTATCTTTTGCTGTGTAATTTCATCAGCTTTACAATAGCCCCRCTGCTTACACTTTCATATCCTGAAATGAGAGATGATCCTGCTGTGAAGGTAAGATAGCAATGTTCATGCTCAGGAAATTAAAGATACTCAATCTCTCTTTTAATAATCAGGATACTTGCTTCTATTATAGAACATATAAACTGCCTTTTTTTTTTAAATCTCATTTAAAAAAGAAAACAAACAATAAAGAAATGACCTTAGCTATCATTCAGCATTACTCAGCCTGAGATTTTAAATTATATACTGTCTCTATTCATCATCCAAACTTTACTTCTTACACTGTCACTTGGCAAATGTTGACAGAACAACCTGGCAAATACTGGCAAAACAAAAACTTTRAGAATGGTCTAGTTCTTGACAATCTTATAAACTCAGCATTTGCACAARTATTTAAAAATGTAATAATTTTATATAACTCAAGAATGCCCCCAAGCTATYGGTTTCATTGTAAACAGCTGGCTAAATAGTTGTGTAATTTCTGATCTTACAAAATTGTTTGAAATAGTTTCAAAAACCTAGAAACACAGCATTAAACAACATGCCCTATTCTTTGTATTTTATCATCATTATCACCATACACCTGCACCCCATCTGCTATCTCTTAACTTCAGAAGAAAACTCTTCATCCTTCACAAGTTCAGTAACAGCCAGGTTTTGTTAACACTTTTGACTGGACTCCCCTCACAACTGTTTATTTTCATACCGAATCAGAGCTATAACAAAACACAGTAAATCAGACCCCTCACATATCCAAAGCCTTCAGAACCCTTTGTTACCCACCTAAGCAACTCACAAGGGGAGCTAAAGAAAATGGGAACTTACCATGTCTTGCACAGCTGCCCTCCTCAAACGTCAGGCTCCCAGGCCCTAATCTAATAAAAAGTGTCTGGGTTTGTTGCTGCTGTTTCCACCCCCAGAGACAACCCTTTGCTGCTGTTTCCACTTTGCAGAGTGAGTTTAAATCTCTGTGGGCAGCTGAAAACCTCGTACACCTGATTCTATTGCCTCACTCACAGCTTCACAGAGCCTGAGATCCACATCACAACACCTACCCCAGTTAAACTTTCAGCATGTGAAGTATGTTATGGGCTCACCAGTGCAGGGGCCAAGACACCACATTAATGCTGATGAAATGTAAGGTGGGACACTTCCTGGATCTTTTCATGTTACTGGCAAAAAACTTCTAAAAACACTATATACTAAAAAAAAAAAAACCAGATAAGCAGTTTATGGTTGGGGGGTGGACTCTGATGATCTAACACTAATTAACTTGCTTGTTTCTTTACTTTCTAACATGAGGGAGAACTGGGCTGCCCATTTATTCCAGTTAGCTGTTGTAACTGGCCAACAGGTCAGGTACCACCTAATTTGGGGGAATACAAAGCAAAACAAGGCTGCACAGGCTCCTCTTGTCTTCCAGTACCTCTGGGTTTGCTCTGCCAGGAATCGGTATTGGTGTACTGGAGCACCAGTTGTAAGCTGCTCTCCTCATGAGGGCAAATAAAAATCACAGGACTGAGCTCAAGCAGGTTGTTGCAAAACACAAGTTCACCCACGAGCTTTCACTGGGCTCAGAGTCTTCCAAATATCTGCAATTATTCATCCAGAACAAACATCTAAAGGTTCTTTGCCAAAACCAACCACGCAATAATTGGCTAATAATGACATCAGTTTTAACGACACAAACTATTAGTTTGCTGTTCAAAGGTCTATTGTATGTTCACTTCTCAAGGGAAAACAGCTCATTAGGTGCTAAATCATCCATCCAACGACCCCTTTTTACCTTTACTGGCAAGTGAAATGGGGAGAGGAGAATCTGGGCTGCCATCTGTTTTCAAGTTCTCCAGCTGGCTGCATCCCCATCTTTTTGTTAGAGGGAAAATTGTTCCCTGTTACTTAGTATCCTTCACATGGGATAAGAGTTTCTTCTGTTACTACTGTTTGACATTGTTTACAGTCCCTCTTTATAAAATGGACCAAAAATCTTTCTTGAGCATATACCTCTGTATGAAGTGAAGGAGCAAATGCACTAGGAAAAAACAACCAGTAGTTACATTTAACAGATGTTACAGGGAATTATTAATCTTATCTCTATAATGTTTTCAGCTGCAAAATAYGCAAGGGAAAAGCATGTAAAATTAAAAATKATGTGCTATAAAACTGGGTCTTGGGACCAACATYATCRGSTCYAGGGTCAGTAGAGCTGTATCAGCASAGCACCAGYACTTTCAGCTTTTCCAAACTGGGAMAAAYGACCAGCATTAACACTGGTATCAGCCCCTGTGGGTCAGACTGGCTCCAGGATAGAGATGCMCATGAGGTCAGTAAGATACACCCATTCTCAGGTTCCATTGGCAGCATTTGGGTCACAGAGTGTAGCCAACAGGCCCCAAACAGGAGGAGTACAGTAACTTAAGCAGCACAGCATGGCTGAGCCAGACACATCACTCCAGGGAGAGACATCAGATTGTTTCCCTGTGGGGACAACACTAAACTTTCCAGGTTACACTTCCCATTGCACTGTCCAGGATTCATAACTGGACTCCTTAAGCTTTTACTCACTGAGTAAAAATTACTCACTGGTGACAAATAACAAGAAATTCCAAAGGAATCTCTGTGGTGGGTGGAAGATTTAATTAAAAATGAAAGCAAYCCCTTTTCTGTATACAAGCAGTTTTATTTGCTGATGATGGAATTATCTGCCTGAACAAAACCACAATGTCAATACCTGGCATATTAGCCAAGTTTGCAAAGAAGCAAACAAACACAAAATAAATAAACAACAATGTAGAATTTGAAAAGTTGCCTAAAGTACCAAAAACTTTTCATGTGAGATTTTGTACACATTAGTGCTGACTAGTCTGATTTTTCATTCCTCACCCTACAAAACCCTGATAAAACAGTGTTTACCACACCTGAGCAAGGAGGGAAATTGCTATGAAGCCACAGGCCAATGTTGGCACACATACACAGGGAATCAGTTTTCCACTGATAAATCTTAAGACAAAAATTGCTATCTGGAGAAGAAAAGTTCTGGAACTGCCTTCCAAAACAAATAGCTGCTACAGAAAGTGTACTTGTTAAGGTAGAAAACAAGTGATTTTTAGGAGTGCTTGATCTATTGCAGAGACCTTGGATAATAAGAACCTTATTTCATCTATAGCACAAGATCACAATTCTCCTACAAGTTTGTAATGAGTACATTATAAATCACTGTGGTGAGCACAATGCAATGGAGAAGTGAAGCAGAGCACAGAGCTCACAAATAAGCACGGTTCATTGTCATACAGCTTTTGGAAGATCATAGTTGAATAGGATACCCCGAGTTCAGGGTCCTACTTAGAATATGTTTTTTATAACATCACACTATTGAGAGAAATATTAATCATTACACAATACTTGAGAATACATGAAACAATATATAAGATGTTAGATAACTTCACAAAATCGCTTTGTGTTAATACTGAAAAGAGCTTTGCTTATTAAACAGAAAAACCTCCATCGGTAATGCCCACACATGTGTGATTAATCAGTATTTAGACATTGATTGGAACAACACATTACAATCAAAGAATACAAAATACAAATAACTTATAACTGCTGGCAAAGAAAAATACTGAACTGTTGAACAGATGATCTCATGCTCTTGTGTGCTTCTCATTTTAGATCTCATAGTTTCTGAATTTCCTCAGAAGGTCTGATGGAGCATCGCCTGACCAGCGGAAACGCAAGTGCCAGTAATTCCCCTCTGAAAATCCTGAGGGGGAAAAAAGAGAGAAAGACAACTAAATTATTGTAAACATGTATAAAATTATATTTTCTGAAATAATTCTTGCTAGTSTTCCCAAAAAGGTAAGCAAAAATTGGTCACTTCCAGTGCTCTTGACCARCACTGACAAATACAAACAGTCTGTATTCTTGGCACATTGGAACAAGAGCTCAACACCAACCTTCAGGACAGAGATGTGCTGGGAAGAGTCCAAAGGAGAACAGCAAGGGCTATGGCAGTCCCTAAAGAGGACTCAAATCAAAACGGAACAAATTGTACTGGCTTAATCTAAAGAAGAGGAGATGGTGGTGATGGACTGCATGTACATGATTTGAGGCCTTATAATACTGAAACATGACCTTCCTTTTTCAGGAAACAGAATCCAATGAGCAGAATTAGTGATCAAATCTCTTATTTGGGCTGCAATAACTACGAAGGCTGGTAGTTCAGAATTTGCCCAGGCCAGCAGACAGGAACAGATAATACCATGGTTTCAAGGTGGAACCCAATATAATAATGTTTGCTGGACCAAAACAAAAGCATTATCAACATCCTAATATTAACCATGAACACTGGAATACATACAGACCTTGTCAAATGTATTATAATACTGATATTTATTAATGTAAATATATGTCACTGGATAAATGAAGTAGGCACTTGGTGAGTTTGATGYTTTTCCCATTCAAATATCTGGAAACTAAATAAAAACTTTTTTTAAAAAAGAGAAAGAAGATTCATCAATTTTCTGCAAAGAAAACTCATATTACAATAAAAAACTGATGTTATCTTTACTTCAATATTTTACCATTCTACAAAGCATACAGTGATAATTTAATTAGCAAAAAAAAAAAAAAAAACAAATAGTATAAAGTTGTAGAGCATAATTTTTCAAAATCAGGTTTTCAGTTAAGCATTACTTCTTAGTAGAGTTTTCTTATCTGTTTCCTGCAACCCAGAAATGTTTGGGATTACATTAGGTTTTGCCACCCTCACAGTTCACCCTGATTTTCTGTTTGATCAAACTGGGGAGAAATAACAGGACTTTGTTTAACAATAGTTCTCTGCTAACATGGGCCTAAGATTATGAAATTCCTGAAGGATCAGGCAGAACAGAGGGTGACCATGGTAGTGTGGAAGCTCTGATCAGGCACACTGACCTAAGCCACGGCCAGGAAATACTGGTAGGTGACTTTTTTGAAATACACATTTATTCTGGTGCATATGCTATTGAATACCACCCCCCAAACTATTTGAATACATAAGAAGCCTTCCAGACTCAAATTTTAGACCTCATTAACTCACCAGAAGCAAACTGTGCCAAAGTACTGAATAATAACTAAAAAACCCCAAACCTAAGYATTTTACTTTAAAGTTTTAAAATTTATTATTACAAAAGTCAGTGAAAATAACTGCCTTTTGTTTTTATTTTTCATTTTCATATATCAGAAAAACTGAACTTTTCATTTTGGTTGAAGCATTTTTTTTCTTCTTCTTCTCCAGTTTCTGGTTTTACTAGTAAACAACCAAGRAAACTTGAGATAGGGAGGAAGAAGKRTCTGAAAACYTCAAAACTAAATAAATAATCAACAGCATAAAACCCAACCCAAAACCACATTAAAAAAGCTACCAGTTCAACACACTGCTTTGGAGAAGAATTTTTCATGACTAAAAGCCCCCATTTCAGGCCAATCCCTGGATACTGCAATTTTCTCTAACTGCTGTTTTCACTTACTTGGGGAGTAGGAATTCTTTGAAGACTCKGGTTTCACATCAGGAATTGCAACATCTTCTGGCTCCCTGCTCCCTTCCAACAATCCATCTTCATTGTTTTCAGTCTGTTGGGTCCACATCTCATTAGTTATGYTGTTGGTGTTACCAAAGTCGGGAGCTTCCAGCATTTGGTCCTTCTTACTTTGGACAGCCCAGTGCATTGACTAAAGGAATGCAAAAACAAAAAATTCCTGTGCTTTAAGAGGTTTTTAATTGCTTTTTCTTACATTGCTGTAACAAATGGTTAAACAAAGCACATTGAGAAGCCTGCAGGTCAATAGGATAAGGGAAAGCGTGGATATGTGTCACAAACAGCATTGGAGGGGACACTCTATGTCAGGTGGGGGTGAAGAACAAAATCTACAAGTACATCAGAATTTTAAAGGCCTTTTGTCCAGCGTCTTCTGTCAGACATTTTTAAGAGGGCTTGAATGACTTCAGAAATGTTCATTTTCATGAARTCTTTGACTTCGAAGTACGCTTCGAAAGCAAGATAACTTGAAAAGATCTAATATTAAAGTCTGTGGAATAACATCTGTTTGGAACTGAACTAAGCTTATTTGGATACTTCCTGCAAACATTTAAGCTCAGGCATAATGCTGTAGTTGAAGAGTCTCAAACTTCCCTCCTTAGCAGAATTGAGATGGGCAGAATTGACATAGGAAACTTCTATTCACTTGCCTTAAAATATGACTATGTAGCCTTGTAATTATCATTCACTACAGTAAGGCAGGAAAAAAGAATCCAGTATTAAGGAATTGAGATCTGCTAGGGACATACTACCAAATCTTCTCACTAGCAAAATCAGGAGGGAAAACATCCTAAGAACACCTGCCTCTGTCACAGGTCACCCCACTAGCCTAGCAGGACCCCTCCAAAGCTCTGTGGGAAGCCCCATTCAAGGAATGATCTTCTGGATTTTTTCAATGAGATCTTTATTTAGTCAGATAGCATGAAAACCWATCTGATAAGCAATAGACCAAAAGGAGAATACAGTATCCAAAAGTCCCAGCTTTAACCTGACTTTGAAAAGAAATAGACRTTTACTACAACAGCAAAGTATGCTGAAACATTTGAAAACAGCCCTTAAGTTACTTAARCATCCTATGACACACATAACARCAGCAACTTGATAAACTCACTCTAAAACTACTGGCCTAACATCCATCTGTGAATGGGCATCTAAAGCCCTCCAATTTTTCCTCAATTTCCTTAACATCCATAGTGCACTAATCCCTCTGCACTATTCCCATCCCCAAACCCCAGCACTGCAGCCTAAGTGCTGGAACTCATCCCCTCACCCTGCCACTCGTTTTGTGGGCCAGYCCTCCCTCCCCCTCCTCCTGAGGGCCCAAACTCAGCCAGCACCAACCGTTTTCACAGAGCTGCTCAGGGCCTCCCACTGCTGGAACGGGATGGTGACTTTGCTTCGGCGCCAGTAATCATAACGCGCACGGCTCTCTTYGTTAGTGAGCGTCTCCTTGGCTTGCTGCAGCTTCTGGAAATTCTCCACTAGGACACAAACCAAAAGGGTACTAAAGACACTATTTGTTTGGCAAAGAAATTAATTCAGATGCAAAAGGGGTACTGCCAACAACGGCTCAGGGCAAACAAAGTAGAGAAGGCAGAAGAAGAAGCAAGTCACCAAAGGATGTGGTTGTGCTTCCAGCTTGCAGAGTTCTGGCTGGCTTTAGGACTGCAGCACCTCTGGTGGACTGATATCCTTTCACATCAGAACTAAAATATTCCTTTGTCCAACAGCTTCAAAAGCTCCTAAACTAAACTGGGAGTAACTTACACAGCACACAGGTAAAAGGCACAAGTCAGCCCCTGCAGATCACCTTAAAATGACAAATTAGAGCAACATGCTGAGATCCACAGCAGCAAGGGAGTCAGAGCAGAGCACAACAGCAAGAACCATGAGCAGGAAGAAAATAAAGATGAGCAGGAACTGACAAGCAAGAAGAATAATCTAAATATAGTTCAGGTTAATTAACTTGATCATTTTATTAGGGGTGTTTTCTACATATGCTAAAACATGATGCAGACTGTATGAATGAGAACTCTCWCTTTTTCCTGCAGGGTAATTTTTCATGGAATGGTTACTAAGGGTGCAGCTGTATGTTACTATTTGTAGAAGGGTTATAAAAAATTAGACTTTTATCTATGACTCACATATGTTACAGTGATCTATTAYTATTACTATTATTCATTTATTCCAGTTTACAAATTAGAGAGATTTCTTTTGAAATACACTACACCCAAATACTAATCAAAATTGATCACCATAAATCACACAAGAGACAACAGGCTGAGGGAACAATTCTATTTGTTTTCCTTATTCTAATGTTACTAGTTTTCAACAAATAAAAGGTCTACTTTAATTACTCTTTATTGAACTTTAAACAGATGAAATAAAAAACAGAGTAAACTCTCACTAGTACTGTAAAACTGTATTTAAAATAAATAAGACATGTTCAGGTAAATAGAGCCTAAAACATTTATTCTTGACAAACAAAGCTGCTCTGATATTTGGCACTTGGCTTCTCTATTTTGTTACTCAGCCAGGGTGAGCTCTGACCAGGGCTCTCTGTGGGTATGGATGGGTAAAGGTTGGCTCCAAATGACTCAGATACAGCTCTGCCCTCCCGGCTCTGATGAGCTGCACCCCTTCATCAGCACAAAACTCAGCTGCTGTTCTGCCAACAGAGGGCTCCCTGTAGGGCTTCAGTTCAATTCCAGTCACTAAATTACATTAAAGGAAACTAAAGTGCATTTAATGTGTTCCTCACGGGCTTGCTCCTGGAAGTAAATTAACTGATTGATGCAAGTGTGGCACTTGAATGCCACTCAACATGGACATGCACAAACTCCATGGGTCCAAGTGACACACTGCAGAAATAAATTATATATTAAAAGATAGCCTACTGTATATATTGTAAAATAATTCCAGGTCCTGGAAAAAAAATCTAACAAGTGTCTTCCTCCTCTATTACAGAAGAATCTGCAAGTCTTAAAAAAGAGTGTTACAAGCTTGCTATTTAAATAGAATATGCGCAATACACATGATGATTAAAATACATTGAAGGGAAAAGAAGTTTTAAGGCTGAATTTAGTATGTTGGTCATGCAATAAAAGAAATAGATAAATTATTTTTAAACAGGAAATAATACATACCTGCTTTGGGGTTTCCGGGATGCTTGTCAGGATGACATTCAAGGGCTTTAATCTTATATTCTGCAAGAATTTGTTCAACCTAAACAAAATATTGAGACAAAGTGAGCAAACATCGAAAAGATTTGCATATTGGCTTTTTGAAAGAGGCTGGAAGGGACAATAAAGAATGCTGAATGRTTTTGTCCTACTCAATTTTACAACCAAAGTGGACAACAACAATCATCTGCCAGTGACACTGCTTATTTAATTCCATTTTCCATGCACTCATCCTCAGTCTCGCTTTTGTGAGACTCAATCATCCAATAYGGCAAGTTGGCTCCAAGAAAATTGTGCAAAGACATTTGAACACAGARGCAAAATGCATCATTTCAATTGCTCTTTGCTTCATCAAATTTAACTTTCAAGAAAGTCTCATAGCAGGAAGCAAAGGCCCTCTGTATTGCTGAAGAACGATGTGTGGGTTTAGGTGGCTTTGTCCATATCCTCTTCATAGGAAATTCAGCTAGGACCACATGAGTTGTCCATCTTGGATACTCCAAGTTAACCTGCTCGATAACCAGCAGTTCACATTCTTTCTGTCAAGGTAATTTTCTGTGCAAAAAGGTCGGCTTAGAGTAGAATAGATTTATAATCAAYATTAGAATACTGGCATGTATTAGTTTATTAGTTAATTACAGGTTCCCACATAGTCTGTAATACCATAAAATATTGCAGCCACTAGAAAAACTAAGACATATTAACAGTTAAAATACAGAAAACCATCTTAGATTTTCAAATGTTTAGTGTTTTTCCAAGTATCTTGCTGGTTWTTATAATTGAGAAGCCAAGACTTCTTTATATCATTCCAGCTCTCACAACAATTAGCCCTAAGGTACCAATTAATTATGATTCTTTCCCATACTACAAAAGCTGTTTATACAACTTCCTCATCCTTCAAACTATAAGAGCAACATGCAATTTAAATAATTTCTTTCAAAAGTAAGTCTCATAAYATTTTTTCTTTAGAATAAAATTACAGTTCACTCAACTAGTTGGGCAAATTTCGGTGGCATAATCTGGGGGAAAATGGGGTCTACAGTGTCATGTTAAGAATTCTACACTTCTCACTCTGCTCAGGATCTTCTTCCAAAGGGGCAGACATAATGTGGTGTACTTGCAGTCAATAAGACACTTGAAAACACATACAGCGTACAGAGAACTTGGTGAAACTGGTTACAGTATAGCCAGCAACCATCTCTAAAACTCAGTTACCTAAAGGGGAACTTAAAAGTTAAAATGTGTACAGASAGGTAAAATGTAGCAGAGTGATAGCATGGAAGTCAAAAAAAAAATCACCAAAAAAAACAAAACAAAACACAACTAGTAAAAGAAAAGTTTATAGGAAGTTCATACAACATACATGAAATTTATTTAAAATACATAGTGAGGTGTTTTRCCAAGAAAGGTATCAAATACCCACTATTATGCAAATAGCACTGCTCTTGGAAGAAGGACGTAGATTAAATCTCCCCTCTTTGTGTCACATATGAAGTAGGTGTCCTTGCATTCAGTTCTACAAGAAACCAAGAATGAACTTGGAATACAGCAAAAAGTCTGTAGAAACTGAGAGGATTTTTGCTTAAATTTAACCAGGTCCAACCAAGATCAGGATATTCAGCAGCTCAGATGAAAGTGCAGCAGTTGGGAGTGTGCTGTGCATGCCCAAGACAGCCTGTGCCAAATAGTTGACTCCTGTACAAAGTAGTGTGACTGCAAAACTCCTGTAATGCTCCRAATTTCTGTTAGACCCCGGAAGAGCTGTGCAGGATCCTGAGGGAAGGCGATCCTGAGGCTCAGACAGCCTGGGAGATCCAAGYTCTTTCTCCTATGTCAAAAACAGTGCAGCAACATCTGCTCCTTCTCCCAACAAATAAYACTTGACAGCTTGTTTTTTTCAGGACCCATTAGCATTTATTCCAGGGTTTTTATTTCATTTTTAMGCAATTTGGAAAATCATTATCAGATGTACTTAAACTGTTCATTAATTGCTAAGCCCTTAAGGAATTAGTGTGAGGTAGAAAATGAGAGATAGCATCTGCGAAACAAGGCTGCATGGAGACTTGAGCACTGCCCTCTGCTGGGATCACTTCGAGGAGTTTCCTCAGGAAAAGCTTTACATTTCCTTCTGTGACACACCGAAGATGTTTACTCTTTATACTTGACCACTATAAGAGGTGAGAGCATCTGACTAAATTCACTAAGCAAAAGACAGCTTTTATCTCCACTGAATATAACCCTCATTGCAGCAGACTAATCAAAATTCCTTTTCCAAAATAGAAACACAATACTAGTTAATATAACAGCTACATTTAAAAAAAATTTTTGGCATACCAGACTATTTAAAAAAAAAGTTATATGTACACCTTTAACACGAAGCACACTTGTTTTAGCTGCAAATCACTCAAAAATTGCTTAGCTAAATCTCATTATAAAGTACTTATCTGCTACTGAAACAAATTAGTMAAACTAGCATTTGAATGTCATTAGAAAGAGCATTTAGAAAACATCATATGGTARATGATAGMAATATTATYTTTGTTTTCATCTGAACCAATGAATACAATTTTAAAAWATATTATAAATATGATAAAGCCTGAAAAACTCAGCAGCGTTACCAGTGCCCTAAAGCTATGAACTTTCATTGTATTAGTTGCACATAAATAGCTTCATTTTTCAAAACCAATAATATATATTCAAAATTATTATTTGGATACTGTCAAACACAAGCCGTTGGCTCACAATCCATAACCGTATCACATGTTGATCTACACTGATAAATAAACAATTATTTCATCTCCATCCTGTTCTACAAGGCATTTTCAATCTAAGCCTGACTCCAGGCTCTTAATATCAGTACACAGGAGAGAAAATTGAGCTTTCCAACAGAGATCCTACAAGTGGCAAGAAAGAAGGTTCCCAAGGCGTTTCAAATATGCATGSCCGCAGAGACACAACATTTCCCGGAGACACACAAACACGTTCAAACTGTGGATAACCCGGCGGGGAGGGAGAGCCTCTTACCGTCGATAGCTCATCGCATCCCAGCAAGTTGTAGTAATCCTCCAGGTCCTCCGGGCTGCAGCTCAGGATCGCATCCATCGGCTCTAGTCCAGCGGGCTTTTTCCAGCCGCCACGGAAGCTGTGGAAKTCAGCGTCAATTCAGAGCCTCACACGAGTTTGAAGAAGCCCAGGATAACAGCAGATCCCACTCCGCTGTAGAGCTCGGTCCGGCGCTTTTGAACGCCGGCAGCCGACACGCATAGCTCCGTGGAGTTCTCCGCTGCCATTGGTCCCCGCAAATGCCAACCCGCTCGCACAAACCTGCTCTCGGCAATGCTCCCTGGGATTTGTAGTTGCCAGGGTAATTTCAACGTTAAACTGGGGCTCCCGTCCAGASCACAGAGTTCTGGACACTGAAACGTGACAGAGATATCACTCACGCCCCAACCTGTGCAGCCACTACAAACCAGGCACACACTGAGAGGCTTCCCTACACCTGAGACATTTTCTGCTCAATTTTTATTGGCAACTTTTGCCATCATCTCTGGCCAGATGATGAGATGGGTAATTATAGAAAAGAATATACAACAACAATTATAGGTGCAAACTTTGGAGAACAAAGTACCAACCCCGCCAAAGTCTGTCAGAGTTCTGCCAGTCACCTCAACTAAAATGGGGCAATCATCACTCTCTGAAGGCTTCCTTGGGTACATGGACACTATTCCTTAAAACCAAACAGCAGCTGTACATCACTTGCATGTCTGACAAATTAAAAGTACTCAAAGACATGAAACACCCACTGTCTACTACCACATTATTCTTTCTCATGCTAAATTATTTCAGACTGTGTATTGAAAGTTTGTACTGTGTGCAAACCATGTTCCTTGTGAAACTCATTTTGCATTGAGATGAAATATCTTTAAGGCACGAAGGCATCAACCCAACAGAGAGTATTGACATGTTTCGTGCCACCCATAATCTGTTGACTTCAAAAGATTACTTCCTAAGTGTAATATAATCATGTGCTGAAGCGTTTCCCCTGGAGCCTTAGGAGCTGTTTTTACTTTTCCCACCCTTGCAAGAACTCTGTAACCTGACATGTTTCATGTCATTAAATACTGATGATTCTCTAAAGCTTACAAATAGATGCTGCGAGTAGTTATACAGATCTAGATGCAGTGACCTTGTAGGAGAACAGATCCCCAAGATGTGACCAAGGCTGGAACAGGCATGTATGAATCAATGAAGGGCAGTAGTGGCCACTCAGAGCTGTTTATGAATAATAAATATATAATTTTTGCATCTACAAGTGTTTTATTATCTACATTATTAATGTTCTGCAATGATATTTAATATTGGTCTTCCACCAATTTCTCTTCAGGGTTGCTTTATCTGACATTTTCTACTTTTACTGTATGTTCAGATAGCCTACTAAGATTGTAAAATATATAAAGCGCACAAAAGCAGCARTAATATTAAAAGAAAAAGCACAAGCCTTGGTGAAACCCCTTAAATCTGATAGAAGATGCTACCATCATATTTCTGTGAGTAAATAATTGAAATTCTTTTTCAACTTCACTTCAAATGAAAGAATTAGCAATTACAAATCTCTCCATCTTCCCCATTCATAATTTAATAACCAGAACAGAATGAGAAAGGGAAAAAAAAAGTCTTTTTACAAGAGAGCAAGTAAATATTTAAATAGGTTGTACTCTGGGGGAGGACAAAAAAACAAACAGCTGCCCCTCCTCCTAACAAATATTCCTGACATCCCTTTCTTTTCCAAGTATTCCTCGTGTATTTGYGTAAGGTGAAAGGGAAGCCCTTTAACCCTTTTCCCCTCCAGCTYTCAGTGGCTATTTCTGTGCTGCCAGGCGAGCTGCAGGAACCAGGGCTGCACTCCAGTAACAAAGATCTGAGAYTTGCCAGCTGTGTGCTCCCAGGCAATGTGCTCCCTGAAGCCTCAGTCCTACCTGTACTCCTCTGCTCAGGCTGCCCAAACAAGGGCTCCAGCCCAAACTGCAGCAGTGCCCACTGCCCCTCGAGATCCCCAGTGCTTGGGGCACAAAGGTTCTGGCAGCACTGGCTGCAGGTTTGTGTCTGGAGTACACAAATTACACTGAATAATAACTCAGGCTTTTACTGCTCTTACTGTCTGCAGAGGGGCAGCTCCCAAAGCAGAATCAAACAGGAGAGCAAGAGCACCTGTATGTAATAAAAAACATTAAAAAATACAAAGGTTAGCCCCAGGACATGAAGTTCAGTTAAAAGGGAATTGCAGGGCAGGAAATTATTGCCTACACATGCTATGGTGCGTGTTGCTCAGGATGTACAAACTGTTCTGGAAGTGAGGAAATCTCATATTTGTTCTCTGTATCCAGCCACCGACAAAAGGTGTACCTCAGTGCTAACACATAATGGCAATTCTGTTTGTTTAGATCCAAAAGCAAAATTAAATTCTGGTTCAGTGTAACAGGACATTTACCAACAACTTGTAAGAGTCATAAATGGCCCTTCAAATAAAACAAGCTCTGAAAATCTCTATTGGAATTCATTCCTGTAAAATACATCAAACCTTTCAGAACCAGTTCTTCTCAACTGACTTCAGGGGTATTGCTTCCTGAGGGCAGAGGAAAAAAAACTTCCTTTACAAGAAGTTCAATATAACTCATTGGAGTTTTGAATGTTTTGCCCCATCTTTGTCTTCACACAAACTGAGAGCTGCAGAAACAGAAGAGGACCCAAGCACTGCCAGACTGACCTCCCAAAATAACCACCATTAACATGGAGAAATGTCTGCAATATCTGAGGTGGCTTTAGGATGCCTGAGTCACTCCCTCAATGATACCTTCACAGAAAGCCTCAGACTCTCCAAAACTTGCACAATTTCTTCTTTAGAACAGTATCTTCACATAGATAACTATCAAAACTATATTAAAGCCCCAACTCTCCTTTACATGCTGACAAAACCATCTTTGCATGTGCTTTTTAAGAAATACAAATCTTGCCTCAGCTTCCATAAGGAAAAAGAATGCTTGCGTACAAAGTTGCATAGAATAAAAACTTCCTTATTCACATCTGGTTACACTGCAGCTTGTTTTGAGAAACAGAGAGTGTTAAAAACAGTATGTACATATTTTTCAGAGTTGATAATACCTGAAAGAACCAGGAAAAAAAAAACCTCGSTCCCATTACAAATACAAGGACCACTATCAAGGTAATTATCCATAAAGTAATCCCTTTTGAAGCCATATGTATCAAAAATTTTAACAAGTTTTTTTTTTAAAAACTGTTGATTATCAAGGCCTGCAAGGAGCAAATTCTACCCGAGTCCTGCCACTAAATTTAGGAATTCCATTGTATCAAAACCACTAACAGTATTCTGCCAATAGGTTGTGATATTGAGCAGTAACAACAAAGCAGTATTTAAATTTATATCCATTAAATTTAAGCCAAAATTCTATGTTGGTGGAAGTCCTGGGTGAAAGGCTGAGTTCTATCCAGCACAAACTCCCAGGTGGAAAGAAACTACACCAGGGGAATCCCATGTGCGGCATTTCCGTGTGTGCTATGCAATGAKGGTCCCGCTCCAGCACTCAGGTGAGGCATTAAGGATTGCTCCTACAACCCACGTAACAAAAGAGATCACTGGGAAACCAGGGAAACCAGCAGCGCACACCCCTGCAGGGCACGGGAAACACAAGGAATTTGGGGCCGTTATTGGAGCAAATATCAACTCTCGCCGCTCACCATGAGGTCTCTCCAACACCACACAGGCTGCTAAAGCAGCAATGGTTTTAGACAGGTGCTGACCCCCCAAAACAGCTCCCGCATCCCGGTAGCTCAAGTACCGCGRCGTAGAATCCCAGGGGGGGCTAATGCGCTATCCCAGAGCATAAGGGACAATACCTTTGAGCATCCCTGCCAAGAGCCCTCGGTGCCGGGGCACTCCCTTAGAAGGTGGGCAGCGGCCACGCCCTGTGAACACCCTGACCCTCAGCTCAGCGTGCTCAGAGAGGCCGCTCCGAGCCCTCGGGCCCCGCTCCGCCGCTGGGAACGGGCTGCCGGGCGGCTTCCTCCGGCAAAGGGGCTCTGCAGCGAGGAGCTCGCTCTCGGAAAGGGGAACTGTCTRTCCGATACCGTGACGGAGAGCGAGCCCTGAGGGTTTCTCACGCGGCTGGCGACGAGCGAACACCGGAGCCGCCATTTGCCGGGAGCCGCCGGCCGGGGAGGGCAGAGGAGCGGGCTGTGAGCGGCACCAGGCCGGCACGGGAAGGGAGGGGACGGGGGAGCGGCGGGGCCGGGACGGGGGAAGCGGCGGGGCGGGGCCGGGCCGGGCGGGTCGCACCCCTCAGGGTCTTCGCGCCGCCGCTGCGGGGACGCCGAGGGAGGGGGCGTGAGGCGGCACGAGCGCCACGTGACGGMGGCAGCGCCCCCCGGTCACGTGCCCTGGTGTGTTGTGG